TTTCAGGGATATTGGACTTGGCCAAATTGAATGTGATGGTTGGGACTTGTCCCATGTCATAAAATTCAACTTCTTTAGGAATGGTTGTCTCAAGCACATCCTCTTTGATGCATTCTAGACATTCCCCATCCACTTCTTTCTCTTGATTCTTTGGAAAGGTTTCAAAGATGCCTTTCTCACCCTCTTCTTCCTTGGATTGCATGATCCTGCAAGGAATAAAGACATTTAGTGGAACGGGGTCAGGACGAATTGAATTTGGGCTTACCTTGGTTGTAGTGGACTGCATAGAGAGCATATGGGGATGCGGCAAGGGTGTTGGGGCTAGGGTAGGCTGCAGCAATGGTGGTTCTTCCTTTGCCGTGGCCTTGTTATCCTCCTCTTCTTCGAGCAGTAACTGTTCATCCATGTTTTGGCTTGGTTTGGACATCTTGGGTTCATCTCCAACCTCTATGCCACTTTCCAAGTTGTTAGCTTCAATAATTTCAACAGTTGAGTCAGTTACTTCACTTTGTTCTTGCATTTGCCCCATGAATTCCGCGATCTCTCCCATTTGATTCTTCAATTCGCTCATCACTTGGGCTTGATTTTGTGATTCCTGCGTCAAAGAAGTTAGTACATCAAGAAATTGAGCACAATCTATTGACGAACCTGAATTTGATTGGAATTGTTGCGGGGCAGGTTGTGGTGGCTGCATAGGCGTTGTATAGAACTCCTCATATGGCTGCCAATATTCTCCTTGTTGAGCCTCCTTGGCTTGATTTTGTGAGCCCTGCGCCAAAGAATTTAATTCATTAAGAATTTGTTCATAATTTATTGACGAACCTGAGTTTGGTTGGGTATATTGTGTATAAGGTTGTGGTGGCTGAGCAGGGCTTGAATAGAACTCATTATATGGCTGCCAATATCCTTCGTGTTGAACTGGTTGAGGTTCCCACCACATAGTGTTTGAATGATCCCTCCAATCTGAATTATATACGTGTTGGAAAACAAGTTGTTCATTGATTGATTATGATCATGATAACTCTCCCAACTCCTTTGTGGATGTTGATCTGCTTGATATCCTTGCGTATAGGACACATCGAATGTAGGGGTGCTTTTGTATTGTGGTCCTTTCGATGTACTGTGATAATTGAGAAGTAAGAATTGCCATTTGAGCTTGAAGATTAGCAATTGCCATGTCTTACTTCTTTTAGTACCTGATATCAAAGAAATAAAACTAAATCAAATATCATAAGTAAACAAAACAGGGTAATTATAAAAAATAAAAAATAATAAAATAAAAAATAAAAATAAAAAATAAAAATAAAAATAAAAAAATAAAATTAAAAAAAATAAAAAAATAAAATAAAAACTAAACAATTTAAACAAGACTCAAGACAAGGGATTAGCAACTTTGCTAATCCCCGGCAACGGCGCCAAAATTTGATGCGTAAAATAAGTTAACACACAAAATTAAACCCTCTTTTTATCAATTGTAGTAAAGTATGTAAGTAGGGATCGTTCTAGGCCGGGGATTAGGAGGGATTGCTAAATCACTTGGAAACTGACTTGAAAACGTAAAAACAAAATTTAAAACACTAAACTAGACTCAAAGAATGCAAAACTATACTTTAAAATACTTAAACAAACATAAAACTCAAAACAGCAACCTAATGACTCAAAACTGCCTAAAAACCACTTTCTGGGCAGTTTTGAGAACCTAACAAGAACTTGGACGAAATTGGATGAAAACTTGAATCAAAACACTTAGAAACACAAATCAAAACACTTTCTAACTAATCTAAGACTTCAAAATAAAGGGGGATTTGTTTTGGACGAAAATTGAAAACAAAACAGAAACTTTAAAACAAAACAGATTGTAAAACGTTTTTGGATGAAAAGGATGGATAAAAGGCTAGTTAGGAGGTTCTTCTCCACACATGACACACTTGCAAACAAAATGATTTTTCAGTTGTTCTTTCAATAAATTATGAAGACTCAACACCCCAAGTTAATTAGATACGCTTAAATTAACCTTCAAGTTCTCCTTAAGTTAATGAATTGGATGGAAAAGCGCATACAACAATTCAAAGCATTTTCTCAAAGGTTCCTTACGTGATGAGCACAATAAAGATACAATCAAGAATCATGAAGCACAATGAGAACTATAAGTGTTGACGAGGCATTCGTTACTATGATGAGCATGAAACTAGTGCCAAGAATTCATTCAACGCGATCGTTTTCAAGCGACCTTCACTACTTGTGATTATAAGATTGTAACTATTAGGTGAAACTCCCTCATAATCTAGCATCATATTCATGCATGAAAACTAAGCGTGCACTCTCAATCAACATACACAAATAAGTTATCAATCAAGTAGATGAACGAATTGAATCCGCAACTTATGAAATAACAACTGAATGTAATCAAATCATATTGCAAGCATGTACATGGTTTCGAATCACCCCCTAACTAAGAGGGGTTTAGTTCCTCATACTCACAAAGCAAAGATACATAAAATTAGACATTAAAATCAAAGGAAAGAAAACACCTAAAATGCTCCAACTTGGTAGCAAGTGCATCCAAGATTCCTCCTTTCCCTTGCTTGCGGCATGAAGCTTGTGGACAGATTTTTGGGTGGATTTATGGTGTAGAATGGATGGGGAATTTTGTGGAAGGGTTTAGGGTGAGAGTGGAAGAGTGTTTGATGGTTGGGGAGTGGTAGAGAACTAGGCAAAGAGGGTGGAAGAAGGTGGAGTGGCTTTTATGTTTTCTAGGCACTAGAATGGTGTTTTTGGGGTGTTTTGCTTCCTAGGGTGTGTATGGACGAATTTCTGTGATAAAATGATGAATATCGGGGATTGTCCTTTGGCCAAGGGGTGTAAACATGTATTTATAGGCCCCAAAAACCTTAGAAAATCAGGTTAGGTTAAGGATGAAATGCATGGTAATTTGTGTGTGTGGTGTGCAATGGTCCAAGGGTGAAAATGAAGTGATGATGCAAAGTGTGAAGGGTAAAATGGAGTGGTCTTGAAGCTAGGGAGCATGAATGATTGTGTACATTGCATAGAGATGGAAAGGGAGGTGAAAATGTGTCAATAAATGGGTCAAAGGTGCAGCAACATGTGGTACACAAGGCATGGGATTCTAAATGTGAATGATGGAGCATCAATTGGTGCATGTAATGGATGTAAATGTTGTCTAAAATCTAATGAGTGAAGGGAACAAGAGGTAACAAGCAATTGAGTGTAATAATTAAATGAATTGAAGCATGAAATTAAAAATTATGTAGGGGACAAGAGTGATCAAGCATGGCATGGAATCCAAAGGGAATTCTATGTGGTTTGCATGGCAAGGAATGCAAGTTGGGGTGACAGATTTTTTGGGCTATTTTCTTCATCTTTTGGACCATAATTCTTCATATTCTTGGCCTCTTTAGTTCTCAAATTCGTCCATCCACTTGGCCCATGCATTTGCTATCCATTCCAAGCCCGAAACATGCTCCAAAGGCCTCCAAAATGCATCTTCTTGCATACTTTGTACTTAGAGTCTGAAAACACATGAAAATGACTTTAAACATTAAAATAACTAAGGAAACACGACATAAATGCACAAAAACAAGCCAACTAAGTCACATAAATATGCTCCTATCAACATGTTAGTGCCATGGTATCCAAATCCAAATTTTAAAGTATGAAATCATGTACAATGGCTCACCCAGGAAACTAGTATCTATAAGGTTAATTTCCATCAACTCAAAATAATATCACAAGATTGTAATAGAGAACCTTCCAAATTTAAATTTAAAATTTTTAAACATAAGCAGAAGCATGAACTCTTAACTTAATCGATTTAGTTGGAACCAAAAGCTTAATTTCAATTCAACCAAATTAGGTATAGATTAAATTGTGAAGAACAATTTCATACCTTTCCGGAGAGAATTTGTAATGAAAAATGCCAAATAAAGCCAAAAGCCGCCGGAAAAATATTTGCGTCTCAAGCTTATGTTAATCAGTTGAACCTCTAACCAAGAACCATTGAGCAAACACTCACATGGTTCATCCAAAATAAAAATCAATCATCAATTTATCTGTCAAGTCATTTAGTGATAGATAAATGATATTTATTCCTAAAGTTTTACTTCATTTGTTGAAGTCTGATACTCCTTCTATTTGATGCCATTCTGCAAGCATTTCTTCCGAGGAAGATTTGTACAAGCATGTATATGTATGTATACGTTAATTAATTAGGGATGGAAGCAATTAGCCAATATGCAAAGTACCAGTTTTGATGTGTGTGAAATATGCAGCAAGTTTACAACAAACTCATTCAGGATTGCGGAAGCGTTTAACCAGGATCATCCAAGTGTTTTCATTACTCTGAATGGAGGTACTTCTCTGCATAAATGTAACAAACACAACTCGAAGAATACCATGTAATTATTCATCATGCAATTGATTTTAAAAGAAATTGCAGATGAATTGGTCAGAGTATAGCGGAAGCATTGATTTAACCAGAATCAAATATATATACCTCTGTTCCTTTAGTAAAAATAAAGAACCCTAGCCACGTTGGGTGGCTCTGATACCACATGTAAGAATTACATAAGAATTAACCTAACAATATTACCAACGCAGTGTTAGGATTACCAACATGAACAAAAAGATCAGTAACAACCAAATCATAGCATCACATTAATCGCAAGGATGACTTACCTGATGGAGTCGCCATTAAATGAATAACAAAAGTAGTCCTCTACTTCCAGCACACAACAACGATCTCTACTATTGAATAGGGTTTAGTTTTGAAAATCTAATTGTGTGGAAGCAGGGACTTCCTCAGTTGATATATATATATGTATGTATGTATGTATGTATGTATGATCCTCACTTTATCATATTAGAGTTTCACTAAAACTAGCCTATTATCAGTAAGAGTGATAATCTCTCTCTTCAATAAGATTAAGTCTCATCATGACTCTCATTCCTTGTATTTACTTAATAAAGGCCCTTAATTGATTGCATGTAATTAGGACTCCAATATATTTATTTCCTTAAGGCACCGAGAATCCTACAAATTTTATTAACTTGTATGCCAAGTCAATTATTCTCTCAATAATTCTTGGCATAATTCATTGTCATTCATAAAATGGTTTTACATTTTGTCACATTGGGTACTTCCCCGTGCCGGTACAGCTTCGCCAGCCAAAAATCCCCAAGCCTCCCTCTCATCTCCACGTTTAGCAAAATACTGCTCGACTTGATGTCTCTGTGAACAACCATCTGGTCCCACCCGTGGTGGAGATAATTCAGCCCCTCCGCCACATCCACCACCACGCGCTGCCGTTTCTCCCACCCCATAACAGTCTTGGGCTTGCCGAAAATCCACCCATCTAGGCTCTCGTTGGGCTTGTAATCGTACACCAGCATCAACTCGTTCCCCTTCTGCACAAACCCCGCAATTGGACCAAGTTCTTGTGCTGCAGCCGTCCCATGCTCGCGATCTCCGCCATGAACGAAGGAGGTGGAGAAGGAGGCTACGGAGCTGGAGTTGGAAGTGGGTTTCATGGGGATTTTGGTTGGGTGGAAGACGTGGCCGAAGGTGTACATATTGGTGTAGTCTGTGAGGAAGATGGCGGCAGCGTCCAATTGGGCGTCGTTGATGAGGATGAGGTCGGTGCCTTTGGTGATGTTGGAGAAGGAGTTGAAGAGAAAGTCGAGAGCGGAAATGGGAGAGAAGAAGAGGAGGAGGAGGAGGAGGGCTGAGAAGGTTGCCATGATCCGTTCAGACTCCAGTATTTTCAGAGTATAAAGCCGAGCTAGCTAGGACCTTATAAATTAAAATTCTCTAGTCGCTTATGTCGTTTTTTCAACGCCTGGAGGTGATCCTCCGACTAATCTATCATCTCAGTCTAGAGTTGGCAGCGAATGGGTTTAGCAGGTCATTCAAATTCAATCTGTTAAGTTTGCGGCTGGAAACAATTGGACCCTGGAATGACGCATTATGTTCATACGTGTTATGTTCATAAGGTTTATAGCCAGTGGGAGACTCAATATTATGTCCATACAAATCGCAATGTAAAGCAACTTACATAAAACAAGTTTATTGTGACATGGCACCCCCACTCCATTTATACAATAGTGAAGCTTAGATTAATCATTAGTGATCAATATATATTGTTATAACTTATAACCAATCAAATGTTACTTATATAATATATATAAAATTTGCAGAGTTTATTGCAAATAGCAAATTCAACAAAGATGTAATATATCAAAATGTTAACACTTAACGAAATTGCATGTAAATCACAAAAAACTGACTTGATCGTTGCAGATAGAGGCTTGCAGAGCAATCTCCTAAGACAGAAATACGCCCCTACACCAGTGCAGTAGTTCAAAGGACGTCTATCTTGCAGGATACAACTATCTAATCCAAGTTCTTGCACACGAACTTGGATTCTTGACGAATTGGTAGTGTTGTTCTCTATAAGGAGTAAAAGGAGCGATTGGATTGATCTATTTCGTTTCTGAGCGGACTGCCATATATATAATGGCTTAACTTGAACAAACGCAACCGTTCATCCTTATCAGTTACAAAACTGACGTAACTGTTCCCTTAGTTTTATCCTTTTGGAAAAACTGTTCCCTTAGTTTTATCCTTTTGGAAAAACTGAATCCAAAAATTCAAAACGAAAAAATAAAACTTTGTGTTTT